TTAGTGTACTCCAATCAACAGCCCCTACAACCACAGAAAGGAATGGAGTCATTAGCACTTATGGTTTGTAAATGGCACCCAGAATTATGTTGCATGAAGCACAATGTCACAGCAACTCTCCCTTCGTTTCAGACGAGTAACCGGTACGCAGTAGCGGTTTTAGGCACGGGCAGACAGAGCAGTTGCCCGGGGCGGCATTTTTTCATGACACAAAAGGGGCGCACAAGCTCTGAGTAAAAAATAAAAAAGAAAGAAATCTGCGCCGCACCGAGGTTTTCTATTCTATCTGTCATATGACAGTGTCTGGATTGGAAACAGCAAGTTGGCGCCCCCTGCAGCTGCAGGCGCTCCTGTTGACTGAGAACGTTCACGTGCACTGTGTGTGTATGAAAAAGAGGAAGGGGAGGGGCGGGGGAATTCACCTCTGGGTCTTTCCCAAATGAAATGAGCGGTTAGGGGCTGAATCAACTGTATTAACATGGCTAAAGCCAATCACATCTTGATGTTCTTCCATTTACTGCACATTTCATTCATAATATGATAAAACACAGTCATGTCAATCTTTCAGGTTTTTCTGAATTGTGTGAAATGGCCGAATAAAAAAACGAAAAACAAAACGATTTTGTGGTCACCCCCCCCATCAAGTTCAAATTGTTTAGTCCTGACTGAAAGGAAACTTACTGAGTCAAGAGCCAAACAGAAGAGATGAACATAAAAAGGCTAAAACCACCAGGTGCCCGATTCAGGAAAAAAAAAAAGAAAAAAGAGCAGAAAGATAAAGGTAGGTACGCTCTCATGATGCATGTTTTCAATTTTTTGAACCAGTTAACTGGGATTTTAACGGTTAAATTTGGTCAGCTAATTGCTAACAGAGCTAATAGGGCTGAAACGAATATTCAAATGGTTCGAAAAAATTCCTTTGTTTTTTACTGATTCAAACTAGGATTTGCTAAATGCTCGCTGCAGCCTGTGGCCTGCCTGAACAACAACAAACACATGTTGATCATGTTCACATAATAATAAAACAACTCTACAAGCAGAAGAAACACCCCAGTCACCACTAACTCTCCTGTTTATTTATTGCTGATGGCTGCACTGATTGTTTTTTACATTATATGTTCTGTAAAAGTTGGCATTTTTGGTAGTCTACAGTTTTTTTATGTCAGTTTAAATTACAATTTCAGAGGCAATTCTAAAATATTATGGATCATGATAAAGATCTATTGAAGATCTACCCCAACTTTTGGACTGCTCTGCCAGTCACTGTGGCTCAAGCTGAGAGGAGCTTTTCAAAACTTGATCAAGTCATACCTGAGGTCACCTATGTTTCAGGGGCGGCTCACTAACTTGGCTCTGATTAGTATCAATCACTCAGTAGGGGAGCATATTTCATATGATGACATTATTGATGACGTTGCATCAAGGTTAGGTTTTAATTTTAGTTTGTGTTATCTGTTCTAAGAGCAATGCTGTAGTGATTATCTTTAGTTTGTTATGTGTGAAATATTTTTGCTATTTAGAATATTTATTATATATTATGTTCATATATTCTTAATATTTAGTTATTGTTTGTTTTTGTACATTTGATTCTATATATTTTGATACAGTATATAATGTATATTGCTTTACATTCTGACAACTTCATAGTAATTAATGTAAATATGTGCAACTTAGAAAAATTAATGTTCAATAGTCATTCTAATAAAACATGCCTGTTTGTAGAAAACATGCGTGTGTTCGTGCTCAAAGGGGGCATCGCCCGGGGAGTAATTCCATGTAGAACCGCCACTGCCGGTACGAATAAAGCATTTTTGACGAATACGAGCATGAGACGAGTAAACCTCGTAAATATCTGTAAACGTGCTGAAGGAAAATTCTCATTGGGTAACTGACTATCTTCACGCTCTGTGATTGGCCAGTCAAATAGAGCGCCCGCCCCTCCCTACACACAAAACTTTCTAGCTGGCCGGGAGCGCAGTCCGTCCGGCTCATCCACTCACACACACAGACAGTAACGGATCTCGCTGTGATTGCTTCACTGTTGCTCAAGTTTCTTCAGTTTTCCCTAGGTTTTCTTCAGCTCACCTCTTTTTCGGTTGAATATTTAAAGTTACTTTTTTCGTAACTTACATGGTGCATTTGACAAGACAGAGCTGACGTTCTGCATCAGTCACTCACTACCTCTGCTCCGGTCGGGTTTTTTATTTTTTTAACTCCATCTCTCTCCCTCTCACCCTCTCTTATCTCTCTCAGACACACACACCTTAATAAACATTGTTTTGTTTAACTTTGTGTAGGGCAAAATGACAAGAACGTTAAGAAAAAATCAGTTTAATCAAATTAAAATAAAAAAATTCATTAAGTGTGTCTGGTTCTAGCTTTTCATATTTCCTAGTTCCTACTGCATGAGTTCAGATGTATTAATCCATGCACTTAAATATTAATGTTCTAATTTTATTGAAACACTTGTTCTGTAATAGTTCCTTTACTATTATGATCAAAAATATTTAATCTCAATTCTGAGGCTCTTCTGTAAATAGTTTTCAAATGAACAATACACATATCAACTTCTGATCATTCCATATCAATTTTATATTGATGTAAACCACACCCACTTCTGGTTAAATCACGCCCACTTCCGGGCTATACCACGCCCATTCCGAGTACAGATACAGATACAGATAATTTAGTTGGTTGAACAGATACAGATACAGATAGTGGTGTACTCGCTCATCCCTAATAATCACATTTCCCCTGGCGATTTGTGGTAAGCCATCTATTCCCTTAGCCCTCAGCAGCAATGACTTCATGGGATTTTTTACAAGTAAAATTAATTCTATTAGAAACAAAATCTTTAGCATCCTCCCTAATGCGATTTCTTCTTCCTCAGTAAGTGAGGCAGCATCAGAGGTGACTGTAGAACCTCATCTGTGCTTGAACCGTTTTGATCCAGTTGAGCTTTCAGAGTTATCAAAAATATTAGCTTCATCTAAACCTTCAACTTGCATTTTGGATCCAATCCCAACCAAATTATTTAAAGATGCATTTCCTTTGGTTACTGCCCCCATTCTAGATATAATCAATCTATCCTTAGTAAATGGGTATGTACCACAAGATTTCAAGGTTGCTGTAATCAAACCTTCTCTTAAGAAGCCTTCTCTGGATCCAGATGACCCAATGAATTATAGACCAATATCTAACCTTCCATTTTTATCCAAAGTCCTGGAGAAAATAGTGGCCATCCAAGTATGTGAGCATTTAAACACCAATGCTCTGTTTGAGGAATTTCAGTCTGGTTTTAGAGAGTATCACAGCACTGAAACTGCATTGGTGAGAGTTACAAATGATATTCTCATGGCCTCAGATACGAATCTTGTGTCTGTTGTAGATCTCAGTGCTGCCTTTGACACAGCTGATCACAATGTTCTTTTAGAAAGACTTGAACATGTTGTAGGGATCAAAGGAACAGCGTTAGGCTAGTTTAAATCCTACCTGTCTGACAGATTTCATTTTGTAAATGTACATGACAAATCTTCTTCATACTCCAGGGTTACTTGCGGAGTACCACAGGGTTCAGTGCTTGGACCAATTCTTTTTACTATGTATATGCTCCCAATTGGTAAAATCATTAGACAGCATGGGATAAACTTCCACTGTTATGCTGACGACAGTCAGCTATATTTATCCATTAACCCTGATTAACCTAATCAGTTGGGTAGATTACAGGCTTGTCTTGAGGACATAAACAGTTGGATGACTCTAAACTTCTTGCTTTTAAATCAAGACAAGACGGAAGTTCTCATCTTTGGACCAGAAATCCAGAAAAGGAAATTGCTTAGCCAATCACCTGACCTGAATGGCATTACATTAATCTCCGAGAACAAAGTAAGGAACCTTGGTGTTATCTTTCACCAGGACATGTCATTCAAATCCCAGGTTACACCTTCGGAATATTGCTAAGATTAGAAGCATCCTTTCCAGAAGTGATGCTGAAAAACTAATTCATGCATTTATTACATCAAGACTGGATTACTGTAATTCATTGCTCTCAGGAAGTCCACAGAATGTAGTTAAAAGTCTTCAGCTTGTCCAAAAATGCTGCAGCTAGAGTTCTGATGAGAATTAAAAAGAGAGATCATATCTCTCCTGTCTTGGCTTCCCTACATTGGCTACCTGTTAAATTCAGAATAGATTTTAAGATCCTCCTTCTCACATATAAAGCTCTTAATAATCAAGCTCCATCATACATCAGTGATCTGATTGTTCCATACGTTCCTAACCGAGCACTTCGCTCTCAGACTGCAGGTCTACTGGTGGTTCCCAGAATATCTAAAATTAGGATGGGAGGCAGATCTTTTAGTTATCAGGCTCCTCTCCTGTGGAACCAGCTCCCAGCTTTAGTCCGTAAGGCAGACACTTTGTCTACTTTTAAGAATAGGCTTAAAACATTTTTATTTGATAGGGCTTATGGTTAAAATCTGATGTTAGCCTAAATCTGGACAAGTGGGGGAGTACAGGGAGGTGGAGTGTACAGTCGGTAAAGACAGCTCTACCTTGCCCTGACTCCAACATGCCTCCATCTAAATAGGATAGATCAGTGGTTCCCAAACTTATTTAGCCGCGCACCCCCTTCTATGTCCCGACCATGTCGACGCACCCCCCAGCCCCCACATCAGGGCATGGCTGTATATATATATATATATATATATATATATATATATATATATATATATATATATATATATTAGGGGTGCAACAATACATGTACCCGTATTGAACCGTTCAATACGGAGCTTTCGGTTCGGTACGCATATGTACCGAACAATACAGTATTTTTTTTTATTTATTTTTATCAATTTTTCTTCTGACGATGAGATCCAGTGGATCTGGGCGATCTGCGTTCGACTACTCCGCCTGAGGTCGCATTGTCGAGCGCAGATCCACTTAGCACCGCCCAAATGCTTGATAGCGACACATGAGAAGTTAGCTAATTGCTAGTCATGGCAGCTGCCTCAGCGGTCCCCGAGATTGAACCTCCTCCTCCGTCTTTCAGATCTGCAGTTTGGAACTTTTTTGGCTTTCATGTGAAGCGTGACCCTGATGGTAAGCGCGTCGTGGACAAAACTACCACAGTATGTCGGAGATGCCTCACAATGCTTAATTACGTCAGCGGGAACACAACAAATATGACTGTACATTTACGCCGACATCACCCTGATGCAAAGACAAGTGGAGTCAGGGAAAAACAGCAACAACCAAGCAAGCAACAAGCTCTTCCCGAGTCATTTAGACAGCCGTTTACACGTGATTCCAAGAGGGCAAAAGAAATAGACAGGGCGATAGCTACTTTTATTGCTGTCGACATGCGACCGTTTTCTGTAGTAGACAACATCGGATTTCGGGAGATGCTGAGAGTACTTGAGCCCCGTTACAATCTTCCTTCACGAACCTATTTCACCGAGACCGCAGTTCCTGCTTTGTACAATGAGACGAAAGCCAAATTAGAGACGGCAGTGTCAGCAGCACCCGCTGTTGCTCTGACCTCAGACGGCTGGACGTCAAGAGCTACACAGAGCTTCCTGACTGTCACCGTACATTATATTGATCCAGAATGGCAAATGAAAAGCAGTGTTCTGCAGACACACCTCATCGAAAGTCACGCCACAAACGACTTGGCCAAAGCTCTGTCAGAAGCAGTGGAAGACTGGAAGTTAGTGCGAGCAAAAGGTACTATACCTGTAACTACTGACAACGCCAGGAACATAGTTAATGCTGTCACAGCTGCTGGGCTGGGGCCACAAATTGGATGCTTTGCACATACCATTAATATAGCAGCTCAGAAAGGAATGGTAGTGCCGAAAGTTTCCCATCTCCTTGCAAAGATGAGAAAAATAGTCACCTTTTTTCACAGAAGCACAACAGGACACAATGTGTTGAAGAGAAAACAGGAGCTGCTACAGCTTGGTGAAAAAAAACTGATCCAAGATGTTTCAACCAGGTGGAACTCCACCCATGACACGATGGAAAGATACCTTGAACGGAAAGATGCAGTGTTTGCTGCTATGGCTGACAACACTGTGAAGAAGAACATGAAGAACATAAACAGTCTATCTGATGATGAACACACACTGGCTGAAAATCTTGTTGCAGTCATGAAAACCCTAAAAACTGTCACTATCATGATGTGTGAAGCATCATCTCCCACAGCATCCATGATCATGCCACTTAAAATAAGCATACTGAACTCCATGGCACAGTCTGATGATGACAGCCCAACAGTGAGAGATGTAAAAAAAAACATCAGGGATGACCTGGAGCAGAGATACACAGATCCTGCCATTCAGCATTACCTCCACAAGTGCACGGCTTTAGATCCACGCTTCAAGTCCCTGCGACACTTGGATGATGCCACTCAGCTGAGAATTTTTGCAGCACTCAACACAGAGATTGTCCTGAGCATTGAAGAAGTAAGTATTATTTTATAAATGTTTGATAATTTCTTTTGCTACTACGAGTTGTAAGTTTTAATGAAAAATACAATTAATTTAATTAATTTGTATTTTTGTATTTCTTCAGGGCCAAGCTGCAGGCAACACAACAACAGCCCCCTCTACGGATACTGAAGCACCACACTCTTCAGATTCACCATCATCATCTCCACCAGAGAAGAAGTCAGCCATGAAGGAGTTGTTTGGAGAACTGTTCATGGGACAGGAGCCAAGGACCAGGTCTGCAGCCAAAGTGGCAGATGAGGAAATTAACTTGTATAGGTTAGCGGACTGCATTCACATCGATGATAATCCACTGAGATGGTGGAAAGAACATCACAGCTTGTACCCTCACCTTTCCAAGTTGGCACTGTGTTACTTGGTTGTACCAGGGACCTCTGTCCCAAGTGAGAGGGTGTTTTCCACTGCAGGTGACATTGTCACAGCAAGCAGATCTGTACTGTCAGCAGAACATGTTGACATCCTCATTTTTCTGAAGAAAAACATGGAAGTTGAGTAAACTGATATTTGGTTTGTCTTTAAGTGAAACTTTTATGTAAGTTATTTTTGTTGTTTTTTAAGTTATTTTTGTTGTTTTTTAAGTTATTTTTGTTCTATATGCAGCCTTAGCTGCCAGCACTCCAGAAGATGAGTGTGAGGGAGAGTTCCATAAAAGATTGGTTCATTTTATAGGCACCTTATTTGTTTAATTGCTGCTGAGAATATAGCCCAGAGGATGGCTATAGTATAGCTATTATTCTGGAAAAAAGCTACTTTGGTTTTCCACAGATTATTTTCTTAGTTACATAAGTTTGCTATTGTAGCAACATTTAATTTACAAAATTGTACTTTTGAGTTAAAACAAATATTTGTAATAAATTTCAATGAATGACAAATTAAAAAAGGTATGAATACTATTTTTTTTGTATCGAAAAAATATCGAACCGTGACACCAATGTATCGAACCGAACCGAACCGTCCATTTTGTGTATCGTTGCACCCCTAATATATATATATATATATATATATATATATATATATATATATATATATATATATATCAGACGTCAAGCTAAACAGACAGGGTTAAAAAATATGATCAACCTTTTTCCCCATCACTTTCATTTTTTAAATAGTAATTAATAAACATTCAATACCATCACAATTTCCTTTGATTTAATTTTAAATAAATATTTAGAGTGCCCAGGTAGCACATAAACAATGCAATTTAACGGTTTTCTTAAAGTAGGAACGTTTAACCTGTGCGGCCAGAGCGCTCTCCTTCCTTCTGCTCTGCGTAAACCTGAGCTGGTCACCTACTTGTGCGTAATCAGATGTCTATAGGGGAAAATATGGAAAAGCCATGAGGTTCACTTTTGCCTCAGACCGACTTATTGCTGTTTTATGGTGTGGCTGGATCTGCGATCCGCTGCCACGCGGACTGGAACAACAAATGCTGCAACAGGGGTTGTAGTCAGGTTCGGAGTCACTGCTGGAGCGGACCCGACTTTAATACGTCATCCCAAAATAGAAGCTAATATCTTAATTTGACCTGGAATGAAAAATGTTATAAAACCTCTTAAAAGTTTTTATTACAGAGGAGGCAGCACTCATTTCTGGGGCGCCGGAGTTTGCGCAGCATGCGCTCTTATTGAATCTGTGTGTGTGTGTGTGTGTGTGTGTGTGTGCGCGCGCGCGGCACAGCTCCATGAGCCGCTCCAGTCACCACACCTCGTTATTGGCGATATTTAAACCAATGTTGTAAAATTACTTCTGCCCAGCCCAGATGTGCTCACTTGTGCACCCGTGAGCCGTGGTTCCGCTGGCACGCGTCTGACCTCTGACAGACGCACTCTGAACTTCAGATCTCCGGCACGCTGTTAATAGCCTGAATGGGAATCATTTCTTGTTTTTTTTGTTACTTCCACAATGTTCTGTGTGAGGTTTACAATGTCAGAACACCTGCATGAGACAGGGTGTTAATTACAATCTGCCAGAATGACTCACCACCTTCAGATTTCTCCAACACCGTTAAAAATGATCAAATACGGAACATATCGGCGTGCGCAGGCCAGAGTGCTGAAGCTCGGCGCATTGTTATTATGAAGCTAGAACACATGTGGAGGACACACACGTGCGCGCAAAAATATACTTGTTTTCAATTATATTTATTGTGCCCACTTATGTTTTCTTAGGCCCACCCACAAACGAGTTTTTGGCTACGCTAATGGTGACATATGACAGACTTCTCTGAGCTCCGCAGCCATTACACTTTTCACCTCGCGCACCCCCTAGCGGCACCCCGGGGGTGCGCGCACCACACTTTGGGAATCCCTGGGATAGATTATCCAGAGTTATCTCTGTAGTTATGCTGCTATAGGCTTAGACTGCTGGAGGATACACTGACCACTTTTCACACTCTACTGCTTTTTTCTACAGTCTTCTCTTTAACTGTACTATTTTCTGCAATTTCAGCTGTTAACTTTATTTTTTTTCTAAGTGTTTTTCTCCCCAGAAGAAGCTACAACGACGTTCTGCTGAGCTGTGGTGGCCTCATGGAGGAGGCCATCGACTAGCACACTGCTGCTAACTACTAAAACATTCTCCCTCTCCTGATAATGGCTTTTTGCTTTCCATGACGTTGGATGTGCTAATACTAGTTTATCCGTTTAATTATAAATCCACTAGGATAAATACAATAAAGTTTATCTTTCACCAAATAGAATATTTACTAAGACATCACAATATAACTATAGACACATTACTAGTCTTTGTGAGTGTGCGTGCGCATGCGTGCGTGTGTGTGTGTGTGTGTGTGTGTGTGTGTGTGTCTGCTCTGTCTTCTCGATCCCCAGTGAGTCGTGGAGGATGGCTGCTTATACTGAGCCAGGATTCTCTGGAGGTTTCTTCCTGTTAAAAGGGAGTTTTCCTCTCCACTGTCGCTTTATGCTTGCTTAGTATGAGGATTGCTGTATAGTCACTGACACTAGTCAGTGACTTGATGCAATTTGCTTGGTTCCTTATATAGGAAAAATTATTTCTGATTGGCCTAATGAACTGTCCTGAATTGGAATGTTTATTATGTGAAGTGCCTTGAGACGACTCTTGTTGTGATTTGGCGCTATATAAATAAACTTGAATTGAATTGAATTAATTATTGAATCCTGATAAGCAACCAGTGATGCTCTGAACAACTCCATGCGTTCCTAACCGAGCACTTCGCTCTCAGACTGCAGGTCTACTGGTGGTTCCCAGAATATCTAAAATTAGGATGGGAGGCAGATCTTTTAGTTATCAGGCTCCTCTCCTGTGGAACCAGCTCCCAGCTTTAGTCCGTAAGGCAGACACTTTGTCTACTTTTAAGACAAAGCATCCTGATAAGCAACCAGTGATGCTCTGAACAACTCATGCGAGACCTGTAGGCCATCCTTTTTCCACTTTCTCTCAGAGGCTCTTCACGCCCGCCTACAAGCCCGTGTGACATCAGAGAGCCAAGGCTCCCTCCTAGGCCTAGACTTGCAAAGCTTGAGAGGGGCAACCACGTCCAGGATCTGATTACAAAGTACATCAAAGTGTTGTGAATAGTAATCAATGTTAGATGGATCTGGGTTAAAGGTCTCTAACCTTACAGACATACAGTCCACAAACATTGAAATAGTTCCTGCATCCAGGGCTCTGAAACTAGTAGCTGGAGCTTCACACACAGGGACAGGACATGGCAACGTAACATCACAGAGTATAGGAGAGTGGTCAGAGAACACAGGAGGCAAAGTCACAAGGTTCATGACAGGGAGACCAAAAGAGAGAACCAGGTCCAGGGTGTGACCCCTGGCATGAGTTGGGGACGATACCCATTGAGTCAAATTGAATGAATCTAACAAATTCAAAAAAACCTTTAGCAAGCACATTATCAGGACAGCAGATATGGATGTTAAAATCACCAAAAAATAGGGCATAATCATATTTTAGGATGCAGTCTGCCACAAGATCACAGAAATCATTAAGGAAGTTAGAGTCAGTCTTTGGAGGCCGATAAATCAGCACAACGAGCAGGCGGGGGGAGATGCACAGTTCAAATAAGCACAGTTCAAAGGAAGAAAATGACATGGTGGGTGTAAGCTGTTTACAAGGAAAGCTGGATTTAAAAACAGCAACCAGCCCTCCACCTCTGCCCCGTGATCTGGGGATATTAAAACAGGAGCAGCCAGGTGGTACCAGCTCCAGCAGGGCGCTTGAGTCACCAAACGGGATCCAGGACTCACAGATGCACAGAAAACTCAAGTCATGCTGAATAAAAAAGTCACAAAGAATAAAAGTTTTGTTCAGCACAGACCTGGCATTGACTAGACCAAACTGGGTCTGCGGCGGGGCTGCGGCACCGAGATCGCGCACGGGCCCAGTCTCCTTTAACTCTGTGCCCGTAACCGAGCGCAGATTCTCCCAGCAAACCCCAGTCTGGCAAGATCTTCGAGCCGACTGGTCGTGGCGCGGTGCCAGCTCACCCTCAGAGCCGGCCAAGTTCCCTAGGCAGGGCGCCGAGTAATCCATGAGACATCTTGGAACCACCGGGTCAGAAGCTGGGCTGAATCGGACCAGCCGCTTCTTCAGGGATCCAGGCCGACGTCTCACGCGCCGGCTACCTCTCTTTCCCCGTCTTCTCCGATGCTTCCTTCTTGAGCTGGGGCAGACAGAGGGCCGACACATCGCGGCTTGGGGAGAGAGAGCAAACGGGCAGTCCAACCAGCAGCACCATCCATGACGTTCCCAGCTCGCGCAGCCCGCTACATCAACGGAAGGACGAAGCCTCAGCAGCGCAGCTCGATCGTATGTCAGCAGAGGATCCACACCATTCAAAAAAGGCATCAGCGACAACAAAAATGCATAAAAGCCAATAAAACACCAATAAAAACCAGTAAAAAGCAAGGTACCAGTGCATAAAGAGGACGAACAGCTCGCAGCGAGCGCCATCTTACTCCCTCAACATGTTCCAAGTTACAAAACTTGGTACAAGTTACATTGAATATTGTCCCAATCCTAGCTCCATAGTCATTAATCACACATTCGTAGAAACCGTCTTATTTTCCATTCTACAAATTACATTTACAATATTCATTCAAACAGCTAAAATTCTGATTTATGAAGGAGAAGAAACTATTTGTTTTATATAGTGCCAAGGCGTGCAGAAAGCTCGCTGCCGCTTGCTCAAAATCGTCTGAGACGTTTGGTCTCCCTAAAGGAAAGGAAAAGTTCTGGAGACTGAAAGCAGGTGTTATTAATACGGGATCCAGAGAAAGACAGAATTGGTACAGATAGCGGCACGAAGAGACAATAGTCAGGAAGAATCAGCAGGAGGTCCCACCAAAACCTGAACAGGTGAGTTTATAGGAGACCACTGAGTCCACTGATCTCAGGCTCAGGAGGAGAGAGGTCCAGTCTTGGGGCCACAGCAGCAGATGATCTTTCACCTTTGACTTTTAGCCTGGTGCTGCACAACCAGTAGGCTTTGGTCACTGGACCTCAGGGACCTGCTGGGGGTGTAGGGACAGAGAAAATCACCAATGTAAGATGGTGTTTGTCCATGTAAGGCCCTAAAGGCTCCTTACATGGACGAGCACAAGGGCCAGGGTCGTGCAGAGATCTTTGACGGGGCGGGTGCTCAAAGTAAAAAAAGGGGCACTTAAAGAGCAATCCAATAAGTTAGAGAATTCAGATAATGAGACCCTTGGGTTCAAACAACATAACAAAAATATTTAAATTAGTGTCATTAGTGTTAATGTTAGTTCACAAATAATAGTTTTAGTTTTTAAAGCTGACATATCTAGGGATGTTACAACCACATTTTTGCCCCTGATCCGA